TTTTTTTTTTTTTTTTTTTTTTCCCTTTTGGTGTGTGACTGAATGTATTTTTGAACAGATTATCTAGTTGATGAGGGCACAGAATGCAATTCTACATCAGATTTACTTTTGGAACGTAATCGAGAGCAAAGCCTGGTCAATCTTTTGCTTCCTTGCTTGGTGCTGCTTCTCCATCTCTTGCAAACTCTGCAGGTTGTTTAATGTGTAACCAGAATTTCAGAGTTCTTTACAATTAATGAGTAACTTGGTACTTGGTATTTGGTTTTTGTTTTTATTTATTTTCATAGTTAGGATAGTTGATTGATATGTACGTCTTATTGTTATTATTACTATTTTACATTAGGAATACTGTTTACTTACATGTGTGTGTCTAAATAGATAGACCTCTTGTGTTTTTCTGAGTCAGAATAAAGGCTCATCTGCAAAAATAGCCTACAAATTTTCAGAATAATTTTCCAACAACCTCTTAATGTTTCCCATCTATGAAACAGCTATCTGAACCTCGATATTTTTAAGAACCTCCCTGGGCCAAATACCATAGTGTATTTTAGTTATTTGACTTCTGATGATTTTGGAAGTAATTGATAGTTTTGATGAATATACCAAGCATTTTAATGCCTTGTTATTCCCTATTGTTTATCCTGTTTCATTATAATTTATCCTTTTCATTTGCAATTATATGTAGGTTGCTAAAGAGGAGCATAGGAATTCAAAATTAATGAATGCTCTTGTAAGATTGCATCGAGAAGTAAGGTATGAAAGAATTTTTATTGCAGGACAGCTCAAGTTTTCCACTCATGATTGACCCTTTGTGATTGCAGTCCAAAACTAGCTGCATGTGCTTTTGATTTATCCACTTCGTTTCCAAATTCTGCACTTGGTTTTGGAGCTGTCTGCCATCTTCTGGTGTCTGTACTTGCTTGTTGGCCTGTATATGGCTGGTCTCCTGGTCTTTTCAGCTCGCTCCTTGATACTGTCCAAGCTACCTCCTTACAGGCTTTGGGCCCAAAAGAAACTTGCAGCTTGCTCTGTCTCCTGGTACGCAAGCCTTGAGATTCCTAAAGAATGTATTTTTATCCATAGAAGTAGCATTTTTAAATGGCTGATACAAATCAATATTTTATGGAGTGCTTTTTTATGCTTGCTAGTACATTAGTGAGCAGTGTAGCCTTTGAATGTCAAAAAGTAGGTAACTGCTATGTCCTTGGTTGATATCAATCCCCTTTAAGAGTGAACGTGGTAGTTATGTGTACTTTTTAGTGGAATTAAATCTTCCAATGCTTCAACTTGTATGCCTGCGGAATATTTTTCTTTTCTTTTCTTTTCTTTTGTTTAATATAACTATGAGATAGGCATATTTTTCATTTTAACCCGAAAAAAAGAGAGAGAGAAGAAAACAAAAGGAATATGTAAGGAAAAAATAGTAATAATGATTAAAAAAATTAATTGTATTGGAAGTGGTAAAAGAAAGAATACTCTGAATTCATTGAAAAGACTTTCAAAGAATGCAAAAAATCTTAACCTGTCTCAAAATTATTGTTTTGAATAAAAGGGATGCAAAATTCCACCAAATGGGTTCCCGGACCCTTCAAGCTCGCTCCTCTCCAGAAAATTCTCTCAAGGATTTTAGAACACAAAAGGTTCGAAGATTTTGAATACAAGGGTAAAAAGAGAAACTATCATTATTATAACTTATTCAATTATAAAAATTGATATAGAGCTATGTTGCATCATCAATTATAAACAAGTGATCTACAGAGGAAAAATGAAAGCTCTTGCCTGGATATTGACTGATACGTATGCTGGTGCTATCAAAATTATGAACTTCTAGCATAAAGATTTTTTTTCTTGTTTTTTTATGCAAGAAAGAAGCTTTTTGTTTGCATCAATATTTTAAATGCCCATTTGCAGCTTTTAATTTATCTTAACTCTTGAACTATCATTGTTATGGTGCTAGAACGATTTATTTCCTGATGAAGGAATCTGGCTTTGGAAGAATGGTATGCCTTTGTTGAGTGCCGTTAAAAAACTTGGCATCAGGACACTATTGGGACCTCAAATGGAGGATGAGATCAATTGGTATTTGGAGTCCGGCCATCAAGAGAAACTGTTGAGTCAACTGTCGCTACAGCTTGAGAAGATTTCCCAAGTTGTCCAACATTATGCCATTTCGGTGAGTGGTTTCTTTCGTATATCAAGTTCATTTTTTTGTGTATATGTTCTGGAAATGTTCTCTTGATTATTACTTCTGTTTCATTTCAACAGACATTGGTGGTCATCCAAGATATGCTTCGGATATTTATAATTCGCCTTTGTTGTCACAAAGCTGACAGTGCTTCTTTTCTTCTACGACCAATATTTTTGTGGATCCGTGCTCGGGTTTCTGACTTGTCTTCTCTTTCAGACATAGATGCTTACAAGGTAAATACTTCTATAATTCCATGAGTCTTTCATCCATATTTGCATTTAGATTCATTGATGCAGATGTATGCACTTTAGTTTTTAACCTGCTTGTTTGAAACATATATTGGACACTGCTGCACTTGTTGGGCACATGTTATATATTTATTAAACGAGATGGTTAGCATCGCGCACACAACACACACACAAATATGTATATCCTTACACATGCAATTTCAGATATTAAACAATCATATGCATATGCATGCATGCGTAGAATACTTCCTAACACATTGTTGATCAAAATGAGCTTTATCGATGCAACTCAGAATTAGATACTGAAAAACATTTGAATATCATAAATTGCATAATAAATTGAACTTTGTCGGGTTAGGCTTGTGATTTGATTCTGAATTTATGAATTGCTTTTATAAGCCGTACATCAATTAGCTATTTGTTATATTATATTTATGAACTTTCTTGTCTTAAACAAAGTTCTTTTCTTAATTCAGAAGTTTAAAAATTGAATATCTTAATAAAACTATGCCCAAATGTTTTAGCAACAATTTTTCTCTGTACTTTTATGTGACCATATCCTATCTTTTATGCGTCAGTGTGATTCTGTTAAGTGAGTGCGTTTTTGTTACTGTGTTACTTAGTTTGAATGATTATTGAAAATCAATGTATCTTATCTTGGTATCTTGATTTTTTTAAAGTCAAATTTTCTAATTGTTCACCCTGTTAAATGTGCACCATGTCCATGTCATTTTCTTTGCAGATATGTAGGTACCTTGACTTTTTTGCAAGCTTATTAGAGCATCCTCGTGCCAAGGTAATACAGTTTTCCCAAGTGGTGTAACTTTCTCGCTCTTTTGAGATAAAAGGGTTTCAATATCAGTTAAAGGTTTTCTTACGTTTACTAATTCTTGGTCAGGCTCTATTGTTGAATGAGGGTGCTATCCAGTTGCTAATTGAAGTATCACATAGATGTTTGGATGACTTAGATACGGATGAAAAGCTGGTTCCTGGGTGCAGATTTTCTGCCAAATGTGGCTTTTCTTTTCACAACTGGTGTCTCCCTGTTTTCAAGTCGTTCTCACTACTTTGCTACTCTATGACATCTCTTAAGCACATTAGAAAACACAATCTGTAAGTAAATTGTTTGTATGCTAATTTAATACATTGTTTATTTTACTTCTTTCTAAGGCAAATTCACAATAACGTATATGCTGATTTTATTTGGTTATAGGCATCATTTTGGATCATTAAGTGCAGAAGATTATTCATTGATTCTACACTGTATTCTACTGTTCTGTCAGGTAAATTCTTGTTCCTGCAGTAATTTAATCATAGGCTTCGTTTTGTTCATGATGAGAGCTTCTGAATTTCGATATATATGATGGATTCAATCTTACCATGACCTATTTTTCATGTTCATAATTGTTATCAAATGGTAAAATACCCTTGTGTCAACCAAGGCTTGGGTTTATTTCTTTTTGTTGTCAACTGTTACTATTGGATACTAAAGATCACGTGTTCTGTTTGCTATTTCTTGTTGTCTTATGTTTGTTTAGGTTTTCTATAACTACCTTTAAAATCTATTTGCCTCAGTTGAAAGGCTTATTTATAACCCTCTTGTATATACTATATTTGAAGTATTAGTCCTTTGATTTTATAATAGAGGGGAGGAGCCTCTTTGTACTTCTTTTCTGCAGTTGTACTGTCTATCTGGAAAGTGACTATATCTGATAGCTTTTGTGCTACCTTCCTCAGATCCTTCTTCCTCCTCTTTGGGTTTCCAAAAAGACCTTCGATGGATAGAGAGGTGGTAGATGTGGCAGATCTTCTCTCTTGTTCAATAAAATTTTTTGGTCCAAGGATAATGAATGTTAGGTTTTGAGCCCTGGATCCATCCAAGAGTTTCTCTTATCATTCCTTCTTTCATATTCTATTTTCTTTCCCCCTCTCCTCGTTGACCATATTTTTGTCTCTATCGGGAAGATTGAAATTTCAAAAAAATACAAGATTTTTGCGTGGTAAATTTTATATGGGAGAGTATAACACCTTGGATCGCATTCAAAGATACTTTTCCCTAGTTTTGTTCCCACAATGGTGCATTCTATGTAGAAAGCATGAGGAGGATCTTGATCATCTCTTTTGGGACTGACAATTTGCTCACTATTTTTTGAGTTGGGAATCTTTTTGCTATTTTCTGGGACATTTGGAGCGTGAGGAATAATAACATTTTTAGAGACATTAAGAGAACAAGTGATGATGTTTGGGAAATGGTGATTTGATGCCTCCTTATGGGCGTCGGTTATGTAATAATGAACTTACTCTTGTTCTTTTAAATTGGAGTCTGTTTATGTTGTTAGTGTCAGACCCATTCCTTTTCTTTTGGGTTTGGTTTTTTTGTATGCCATTGTATATCGTTCATTTGTATGGATGAAAGCGTGGTTTTAAATAAATGTTAATATTTTAGATACCAGTCCTCAAATATGAACGAGAATTTCATCTTATTTGATAAAGTGCTTCTTGTTGATTGACTGCCCATGTCTTCTCGTGTTATCAAAAGCTACATCATGTAGGAGAATGAAGTTTCCTACTTTTTCTTTTTGATTAATTAGCATGTCTTGATTCATAGGTCCTGCCTGTTGGAAAAGAATTAGTTGCTTGTCTTGCAGCATTCAGAGCTTTGGGATCTTGTAGTGAAGGGCAAACTGCTTTAGCATCTATTTTGATTGATATTCATAATGTTGACGAGCGGGAATCTCAAGGACATAAAAAGGGTAGTGACTGTTCTTTTAATGTATCAAGTTGGAGGATGAATCCTCCTCTGCTCTGTTGCTGGAAAAAGTTATTAATATCAATTGATTCAAATGATTATATACCGACCTATGCAATTCAGGCAGTTGATGCACTATCTTCAGGATCATTAAGCTTCTGCTTGGATGGGTCAAGGTTAGATTTCTTCTTGATCTATTTGTTGGTGTGTATAAGTGGAAGTCATGTACGCTGATTGTCTCAATATATTTTATGATTCTCACGTTTATCTTTATTTTATGACCTTGTAGTAATTGTCCATAGTACTAGAAATCTCCTGCTTAAGAATTATTACACTGTAATTCCTTCCTTGTATCAGAGAAAATGAATGTATCTCGTCTTTGAGGTGCTGGCTCACTTTTCTAAGAATTGGTAGTGGTGGGTTTAGAGGACCAAATGGTGTCGTTGGAATTCCATGAAAAATTGTTTTACGCCCTGAAAGTAAAGAACAGAACATCTCTTTTTTCCTTCAAGGTTATCTTTGTAGATGGTGGATCTCTTTACCAGCCTTGAAAATGTTAACTTATGTTTCAAATTTAAATAAATGCGATTATTTTTTGGAAACCAATTATCCCTTTTTGAGGAAATTTTTGTGTTTGGCGGATGCAATTGGTAAGCTTACCGTTTTCTGTTGTGTAGTTTGGTCTTGGACAGGATTGGAGAAGTGAAATTTCTCTATGGCCTTCCTGATGCTGTAGAAGGCGTAAATGATTCTTCTCCCAAAGATGTTATAGGTTATATACAAGAAATGATTGATGTTTTTAAATTAAAATTGGGACTTGGTGATTATCCAGAAGATTCCAACATTCCGGCTTCTATAAATCAGGTATAAAATATTTGGAATCACACTTTATTTTCCTCTGAAATTAAAGTTAAAGTTCACGATCTTGGCATGAATTGCAGATTTTAGAGACTGCAGAATCACTATTAGTATTGTTAGAGAAGCCTATTGGTTCAGTTAATGTTGAAGATATTACTCTACACGAGGACGCTCCCTTGATACCAAGTAACATATTAGATTCTCTGAAGCTTTCCCAGCTTGGTGATGACAGCATAGGAAGTGTAGAGGACAATCTTCTTCTAGGTCTTGGGGACAAATTTATGTGGGAATGTCCAGAAATATTACCCTACAGACTTAATGCTGTTCCTGCAAAAAGAAAAATGTCAACAATGGATGGGCAGGCTAGGCGTGCTAGAGGAGAGAACTCCCCAGCTGAAATCTCTTCTCAGAACACATTTGCACGTGGACCAGGGATATCTACCACCCCTTCACTTCCATCACGTAGAGATACCTTTCGGCAGCGAAAACCAAATACCAGCAGGCCTCCTTCCATGCATGTTGATGATTATGTTGCGAGAGAACGAAATGTTGATGGGGCTATTAATTCTAATGTAATTTCCATTCAACGGGTAGGATCTTCCAGTGGGAGACCTCCATCGATACATGTGGATGAGTTTATGGCCAGGCAAAGGGAACGCCAGAATCCTGTTGTAGCTGTGGTTGGGGAGGCTGCATCACAAGTGAAGGGTGGGGTTCCTGCAAATGACACGGATTTGGAGAAGTTAAGCAAACCTAAGCAATTAAAGACTGACCTTGATGATGATCTTCAGGGGATTGATATTGTATTTGATGGTGAGGACTCAGATCCTGATGACAAATTACCCTTTCCTCACCTGGATAATACTCTACAGCAATCTGATCCCATGTTGGTTGAACAAGGTTCTCCTCGTTCAATTGTTGAAGAGACAGAAAGTAATTGTAATGATACGAGCCAGTTTTCTCCCATGGGTGGGCCGGCCGTGTCTAATGTCGATGAAAACACTCAAAGTGAATTTTCTTCTAGGATGTCTGTTTCACGTCCACAATTTCCGTTGGCTCGTGAATCCAGTGTGTCCTCGGGTAAGAAGTACTTTGAGCATCCCGATGATGGGAAGAATGCTATTCCTGTTAGAAGTGCAGGTGGCGGGGTTGACACTTCCGCTACAGTTAACTCTTCATATAACAATGCAACCACGCCACCTTCAAAGTTCGTAGCTGAGCCTAGGGTAAATACACAGAATTACTTATTCAAAAATAGTCCTCAGCATCTTGGCAGTGGACCACCATCCATAGGATCTCAAGGGTTCTATGAGCAGAGGTTTTTTCCAAGTCAACCCCCACTACCTCCAGTGCCTCCACCACCAACAGTTACATCTGCAATATCTCAACCATCTGATCTGCCTTCCAGTCAGTCTTCCCCATTTTCCAACTTTGTAACAGACACTCAACAAAGATATTCAACGACGTTCCATGTAAGAAACAACGTCTAGTTGAATCTTCGGCAGCATATTTCTCTGCTGGTTGTCATTGTCTGCAACTTATTTCTTTATTTTGCTTTTGCAGGGCCCCTCGGATTATCCATCTGGATACAATAGTTCAACATCATTTTCCAGTGGATCTGTCAGGCCACCCCCACCCCTTCCTCCAACACCACCACTTCTTTCGTCCAGCCCACATAATTTATCATCAAGTAAAATTCCACTTCCAAGCACGCCAGCTTACAACATGGAGAATGTTGGGATGACAGAGGTTCCTCAGAACCCTACTGCAAGTTCAACAGACACACGTTTAGGTGGAGTATCTGCTTCTGGGGTCATGCTAGCTTCTAATTCTCTCCCGGCACTTCCACACTTGGTCTTTAGTAGGCCTTCTATGCCTGTAAATCTCTATGGGGGCATTTCAACTCAGCAACAGAATGAAAGCTCGTCAAGTATTTTGCCGAATTTAGCTATTCCTCCATCTTCCATGCCTTCAATGCATTCTCTGCCTCAGTTACAGCCCCTGCAACCTCCACAGCTTCCTCGACCTCCTCAGCCGCCCCCTCAGCATCTTAGGCCACCCATCATAGCTTCACAACAACCAGAACAGGTGGTATCAATGCAAGGTTCGGTTCAAATGCAAATGCATCAATTACAAATGCTACAACAGCCAAGAGTTTCTCCTCAATTCTATCAATCACAACCAGTAGGGTTATCACATGCTCCACCTCAGCAACAATTTGAACATCCTCAACATCAAGCTATACATCAGCCTGGGGATGCTGCAACCACATCCCAGCAACAGCAGGATTCAGCAATGTCATTGCATGAGTACTTCAAGTCTCCAGAAGCCATTCAGGTAACTAATTTTGTTACTTCTCATCTAAACTTCTTCAATGAGTTCTCTCCTTTCCATTGAAATTAGTGAACCCTTTCTTTTCCAACGCAGTCATTGTTGAGTGATCGGGAAAAACTGTGTCAGCTTTTGGAACAGCACCCTAAGTTGATGCAGATGCTTCAGGTAATTCAATGCCTCCATTATGCAAAATGATAGGTTGAACAAATGTCTGAGATTGGCATGCACAAATATTTGAAGAAAGTTGACGGTGACATATACATACATCTATATATTTTCGCTCCTTGAATTTATGCTGTGGCTGTAGAAAGTAAATTACAGAGGTTTCTATTGTGTTGGTTTTTGAAAATTAAGCTTATAAACACTATTTCTACCTTAAATTGATTTTGTCTTCCACATACCACCAATATTTTCAAACGTTTCGTAAAGAAAGTGAAAACTATAGCATTTCAAAAACTTAAAAACTAAAAATGTTAATGAACTAAGACCTGAAAAAAGGTTAGTGATAGGTGGTGATTCTGATGGCTAAATCTTTGATTCTTTTCTTGGTAACAGGAGAGACTGGGTCAACGATAGTAGCCTACGATTGTAGAATAGAGGGGACGCCTCCTTTGTACTTTATAGCGGCGCTGAGTCTTGATTAGCCTGCCCAAGAAGATAAGAGAAGAGAAGAGAAGAGGAGAAGAAAAGAAGAGTGGCCTGTATGTACCATTACCAATGAGTTTTGTAGTAAATAACAATTATGTATTATCATTATCCATCAGTCTTTTATGTAACTACGAACAATTCTTTTGTTTAATTCATGAATTTTACCCTATTTTCGTTTCCTAGTGCTACTATCACTGGTCTTTTGGTTTATTCAAAATTGATTTTAGACGTAGTTAAATATGATCATATGCCCACGTGGTATTACTATTGGTATTGGTATGCATTATCTTTGAAAGATTCCAATAGAAATATCATTTGGAAATCATTTAAGGATCTCCAAAAATTAGTATTCATGATACCCATTGAAATCAAATTTTAAGACTTTCCTTTAACGTTTTATTATTTAATTTCATTGCACTATTATGTATGGATTTGGTTCAGTTTTATAATCTTAAAGTACAAAATTAAAACATTTATTTGTTATATTTAAGGATATTAAAGAACATAATGTTTACCTTTAGGGATGAAAAAGGACATTGTACTAAAAAATCAGATTCATAGTCTTCTTTAGTCTCAATGCACATATATTAGGTTTATGCTGATTCTTTTTCCCTGGATTACGTGTTGCAATATTATTGGGTGCACGAGCTGGAATTAAATATCAATAGTCTCCATTTTGCGTGATCCGAGAAGCCCATGATCCAAGAGATCCTTTCTTTCTTTATTAATTATCCTATTTGATGTGTTTACGTTACAAATTTTATTATCATATAGAATCAATCAATGGAATTAGCACCTATCCTTAGCACACATTTCTTACCAATTAATTTTTTTTCACACGACGCTCGAATAAATGAGGGGTATATGAATGAATCGAGATCATATCCAAATGAGAGTGAAAAGTTACTACTCGTGCCAACAATGTACACCTTCCTTAAAACAATTCTAGGATGCTAGGATGCATGTGAGTAGGAACAAAGTATGCTAGAATGATTTGTGTTGATCTGTGAGAGATAGTCTTTACTCTTAAAAAGTGAGGAGTAAATAACATGACCATGTGGTGGTCAACATGTGTCGAATCCAGATTCTGAATCTTGAGTCTGGGTTATTACACCTCATAACTCTTTTTTCTGATTACGTTTTCTTTGAATTATTTTTTTTACCACAACGATAGTACATTTTATGATATACAATAAACAGAGGTAGTATGAAACGTTATTTTATTTCATTCATGACTTTCATGCTATTCTTAAACTTTTATTTTACAACGGCTAATAAATTGAAGTGGTATGAAACTTTTTGCATATTACCATAATACTAAAAAAATTTCTATTATTTTGTAAAAATAAAAAATAAAAGAACTACCCACCACACACAAGGGTATGATCCACTGATATCATCTTATCCCGAAATTTGAATTGTTCTATGATGCAATAGCTAAAATACACATTTTAAAATTATAAGGTTGAAAAACTAAGAACATGGTAATTATTTATAAGGTCGGGAAACCATATTCTAAAACATAATAAAATAATGTATGATTCGCAAAATCATAATTCAGAAAATGTTTTAGAATCTCAAGGGATTGGATTGCCTAATTCCTCAATTTGATTAAAAAAGAAAAAAAGAAAAAAAAAAAAAACAAACCATGTGGCCTTCTCTTGATAACATAAAGCAAACCCTAAACGAAGGTTTTCTCGAGGCTTTTGCTTCCCCATTTACCCTCCTACCCACCAATCCTCTTTTGCCACGTAAGCAAAACACCGACACGTCGTCTTAGGCTTCGGGTGAGTGGCATAATCCCTCCTGTTTCCTCATGTGCTCCTTGAGAAAACACATTGCCAAGGTGTCTTCTTCAAAACCCCATCACAAAAATTTCATCTTTTTTAGAGAGAAATTTATAAAGCTTTGTTAAATGCCAATCCCCATCTGGGTTTTCTCTTAAAATCCCCATTGGAAATGGATAGGGGATGGAAGCCAATGGTGGAAATATCACCCAATTGTCCAAGATGTGGCTCTTCCAACACTAAGTTTTGTTATTACAACAATTACAGCCTCACCCAACCTCGCTACTTCTGCAAAGGCTGTCGACGCTACTGGACCAAAGGCGGTTCCCTCCGTAACGTCCCCATCGGTGGTGGCTGTCGGAGGCACCGACGACCAGCCAAGCCCTTAACACTATCTCCATCTCCCTCAAACCCTAAATTTCACCACAGCAATGGTACCAGCTCCCTCCACCACAATCACCGTCTCCATGATTCAGACGTGTCGCCCGTCATCGATTTGGCGGTCGTCTACGCCAATTTTGTGAACCAGAAGCTGACAACGCCCGGGACTATCCCGGCGGATAGCACCACGTCGAATGCAGCCGGTGAGAGTGGCAATTTGTGTGCGTTTTCCATGCAGGAATGTGGGTTGGGAGGCAATGAGTATCAAGTGGCCGGTTGCTTTGGGTTAGAGGAGAATAGTGATAATCAAGTGGATAACATTGAAGTGGCGGCGCGTGAGCTTCAATTGCCGCCGTTACCCGGGGAGGAGATGGTGGGAGGTTGGGCAAACCCTATGATAATGGTGAATCGTCGTCATCATCATTTGCAACCAACACGAGTGGAAGTGTTTGGAATGGAAACTGAAGACCCAACTTTGCTTGGTGGTAATTGGAGCCCTATTGATTTATCAAATTATGAAACATTCTCGAGGGCTTAACAAATATACATATACATAATAATCTATCATATTTTTTCCAAAGTATTTTTGTGTATGAACTTCCATCCATATATATATATATATATGTGTGTGTGTGTGTGTGTGTGAGAGAGAGAGAGACTTATTGTACTTGGTTCATGTATACAAAAAAAGATTACATTATCCCATCTTTGCTTATGGAATAAATATTTAGTGCAAACATCAAATAGACATGGCTGTGTCTTGAATCTTTATGTTCTTACTCACAACCCCAACAATCAAACTTCAATGTCCATATATATTAACCTCAAATCCATGCACGGACAAATTACTTTGATCAAGATTGACCAATCCTTAAGTTGGGTAGCCTTGGCTTTGGTCCCTGGTCCTATGTTGAGTCGACCAGCTCCCAATGTCGTATGCCCAAAGCCTAGTAGGGCCTAGGACCTAGATAGCTAGCCCACGAGCTAATAGACATAAGTGGTTCTACTATTCGAAAATATATCTGTGTCTTATTAAGAATAAGGTGTAAGAAATAATGATATTGATACGAATATAGATAGATTTCAAATTTTTGAATGGGAGTCTTATGTCCCACCAAAAGTTCGGTGTACTTTCAATCTTCCATCTTTGATCCATTTCAATTTTAGCTAAGACGTTTGAAGTTTGAGACCAAATGGTTTGAATTTATAGACTACCTTTGTGGACCAAACTAGTCGAACATAATTATATAGTCATTCCATTTGAAATGGTCTCCAAATGTTTTAAACTTCACAAGAAATTATTAATGAATAGCAAAACAACATGCAAAAATCTTAAAATGAATGGATGAAATTGGATTTATGCTTGAATTTATGGGATAGCTTAAGCAATTAATTAGTGGATGAATTATATACGCACGAAGAAAATGATGGGGTTTAGGGGTTTCAATTCCTTAATTTGGAGGATATGAAGAAGCCAATTTGGAAGGAATGCAGGGCGAGTTGTTCCACACACGAGGGTGCATCCTCAGAATCTCTCTGGCCTTCTCCTTCATCTTCTTCGAAACTACCGCCATCCCTCCGCCGTGTGCCAGCAGTGCCGCCCTGCCATCCGCACTCCCACAGAGAAAATCCAGCGCTGTCAGCGCCATCTCTCAGACTCTTCTCTCCGGCGCTGCCAGTAGAATCTCTACCAGAACCCCAACCCCACCGGCCTCCACCGCCTTTACTCTGTTTCTACCCCACGGACTCGCAGCAATTAAAATCCCCAATGCTGCTTTGAAGCTCTGATGGGATTTCCAATCCTTCAAAATCTCAACAATTTGCACGAAAAAATCGGATGTCATGAAGTTTAGTTCAATTGGGTCGGCAATTTCGACCATGGATTTCAAAATCAAGACCGCATACGCTCGGGACGACTCGTGGGTGTTCTGTTTCATGACATTGGTCAAAGAATGTAGAATCGGAGAGGCGGAGGTTGTGGAGAGTGGAGAGGGCTTCTTGGCAGGCGGTGGAGTCGTGGTCGGAGTTGGTATCGACGACGACAGAGGCTAAGAACTCAGGGGCGCCGGCGGATTCTACGCAGCGGCGGTCGGAGGGGATAAGGGACTTGTTGGCGGTGGAAATGAGGTGGAGGATTTGGGACTTGGGAGTGGGGAAGCGTTGGACGCCGTGAGAGGAGTTTAAAGTGCACCAGGCTTGGATTAGACGGCAGAGGGTGTGGTTGGGGGTGAGGAAATCGCCGTAATTGGAGTCGGAGATGGGGAGGTTGATGACGGGGCAGGAGGAATTGTTGGCGGAGAAGAGCCAGGTTTGGATGGATTGACGGTCGTAGGTGATGCCGGCGGGGAGGGTGCGAGGGTCCTTCATGATTTGGAGGGAGAAGGGGCAGAGGAAGTAGTGGGGGACTTCAATTTCTTCTTCCATTTTTTGATTTATGCTTATATATATATATATATATATATAATTAAACACAATACACAAATAAATATTTTAAATCAATATTCATATATTTATACTATATTATACATTATATAATCATTATACATTACTCATCTAATCAAACCCATTGAAAAAAACAAATATAGAATCCCCAAAAATATATATACTCATATACCCTAATGTCTAATTAACCCACTGACTGCAATTTATGATTCTATTCAAAACTGTAAAACCAAAAACTAAAAACTATACTATTAAATTCTTTTTTTTTTCTTTTTTTTTTTTACAATAGTTCCTTTCAACAATCTCTTCCCCCAATCTGCAGAGTGAATTTGAAATTTTGGGTTTAGGCCACGAAGTCTGGCAGTAACTGGGCGGCGAACCGTTTTCCATTTTGGATGTTCATGGTCTCAAAGGCGGTGGAGGAATGAGCTGTTGTGGAGGCGTTCATGGCGGAATAATCGGCGGCTTTTCCTAATTCTGTTCGTCTTCCTAATTGGATGCCCTGATTTGGGAGGAACCTTTGGTGGGTTGCTGCGTTTAGGGACAGATTTTCGCAATGGGGAAGCCC